GACTGTAAAAGTTGTAATTTTAATATGAGATCCACTAAAATACTTAAAGTCTGATTGGTAAGCCAATGTTGTAAAAAAACTTAAAAGGTTGTAAAACATTTTTAAACCCCAACCAATCACAAATCCATACATTCAGCTAAGCGTGAATCATTAGAAGTAAAACAACATAATCTAACGTATGAATCGGGAATCTGTTTGCACTATCCTTTTTGTTTTGAAGTTTTCCATTGAGCAATCTTTATGAGATCCTAAATTAAAAGAAAAGCTGAAAAGGAGAAAGATAGCAAGCAAGGAGACAGAGGCGAGTGAGAGCCACGTGACTAAGATGTGTTTAAGAATGAAAAAAATTAATACTCCAAGCAAAGCAAAAGTATTAATTAAAAATCGACAGATTTCCACGTGGGAGGTCACGTGAAGGAGTGTCCACGTGTCAATCTCAAAAGAGAAGTACGTAATCCTGTGAAGACATTGTCCTAACCTGTGAAGACACGTGTCTCGTTGTCTCTCTCTCACCGGACACCAATCATTTGTTGGCACATGTAAAATTACCTTTATACCCTTTCAAGGCTCCTCCTCCTCCTCATGATGATGGTATTATGATACAAAAACTTCGATTCTTGCGTTTTGGGGTTATCTGTGTTACAGCTGTTTTCCATGTGACTTGCACGTGATCTCGCTCTATTGAGAAATGGATTACATTTGACGTGGAAAAAACGCAATTCACTGATTTGGTAGAGAGATAATGAGATTTTGACCAAAAAAAGGTAGAGAGGTTAATGAGAAGAATTAGAGTTTACATATTGCGAGAGAGAAACCAAACACGTCATGGGGAAAAAGCAAAACAAGCAATGTCGCTAATCAAGTCGATCGACCAGAATGTCAAGAACCGCATCAACTCCATTCGAACTACGGGAAACCATGTCTATGCTGCGACAATGGATTTGTGGCTCTCGACTCGGTGAAACATCATCAACCATGTTTTTGGATACTGTAGGGGTTGGATTTCACCCTTATGAGATCGATATAGCGACAAGATCAACGTTGCAGCGTCCTGACGAAATCGGATCAAAGCTACAAGGGCCCAGTCTGAATCTAGGTCCAAAATGACATTAAACCCATAATCAAAATGGGTTTAATGAAATAATGGGCCTAATTTATATATATTTCTTAAAGGGCCAAACCCATTTATTAGCTGACCAATTTTACTTAGAAGAACTATATATAGTTCATTATTATCTCCCAAAAAGGCGATCGATTCATTTTGTAACCAGAGTTTTGCATAAACAGCAATAAAATATTTTCGACTTTTGCTTTGTGATTCATACTCAGAAGACTCAGTTCTCCTTTCAACCCTTGACAAATTCAACTGTGTAGGATTCGCCGTCCACATATACTTTGATTTTTTATGCATTTTAAACACAAAGAAGCATTTAATGTACAAACAATTTTTTGAATAAAGTTTACATTCAATTAAAAAAAAAGAATTAGGGTTTGATAATTGGTACATTATTTATCAAATTTATTCATAATTTTTTTAAAAAAAAATACAAATATACTAGAATCACCAATGTGTGTCCTAGTAAATTCGTTATCTATATGGTAAAAATAAATTTTATGGATGTTATACGAGTAGAACTGTCAATCGTAGATATTTGTGATATGTTTTTCGTGAAACTATTCGTCGTGTTTCCAGTTTCTACAAGAAATTAGATTCGCTCGACTCGACGAACATGCGGGAAAATGCAATTTTTTTCAATTGTACAGTAATATTGGCTAAACGGATTAAGATTGCGAATTTGGATAAGTGAACCTAAACGGTTCGAATCTAAAAGTATACTTAAATATATGTTGGGCCCAAGTAAAGTGGGCTTTTCTCAAGTATTAATTTTGTACAAAGTCATAAAAATAAAACCAAATTTTATCTACAACCACAAGCAAGTCTTTTGATTCATCCACTGAAAGTCTGAAACAAACTCATTGATTTGTGAAGATGGCAATTCTGAGCAACGTCTCGTTTTCTTGCAGCAACATCTCTCTAAAACCATCTCTCTCTTCACTCCCTTTTTCTCCTTCTTCTCGTTCTCATTCTCTCCTTCGTTACTCAAAGGTAAATCTCTTAAATTTGTTGTCTTCATTAACCTCTGTAAACACAGTATTGAATTGAAGAAACCCAGAACTAAAAAAGAGTTTTTTTTGTGTGTGTGGGTTTGGTACAGGAAGGAAGAGAAGTGGTTAGTCCATTGGGAAGTGTGGTTTTGTCATTAGGAGAAGAAGTTTCAAAGAGAAGTCTACTTGCACTTGTCTCTGTTACTCTCTTTTTGGCTGATCCTGCTCTTGCTTATAAGGTAACATTCTCTTCTTATATATATTGGTGGTGGTATACAATTGGTGAATTATAAAGCTTAGAACTTTAGGGAAGTGATGATCAGATTAATTCATAGGTAAAGTTATGTTATTTATGGAATTTTTTTCATCCAAACTTTCGAAATCATTGAGTGTAAAGGTTAAAACTTTCTTTAATGAAAAGTTGGAAACAATCTTCCTTGTAGTTTCACTAGCAATCTAATGATTTTGAGGTGATTGTAGCAATAATCGTAAACAATGTGACTCATGAATGTGTTATTTAGACCTTTGTGGTTAAGATCTTGAAAGGTAGATAGATTTCATTCCAGTGATGGGGATTTTGTAGTTTGCATCTCATTTTGACTAAAGACATATCAAAAGATGTTCTACTTTTATAGCTCACTGTGTTTTCTTGATGTGGATGAAACTGAAAGGGTGGAGGTCCTTATGGACAAGGAGTCACCAGAGGACAGGACTTATCCGGCAAGGATTTCAGTGGCCAGACTCTGATCAGACAGGACTTCAAGACGGTATATATTCTGTTTTATTATTCAGTTATCAACTGGTATAGATCATCATGAACACCGTATCTTTCGTTTAATCATTCTATATTCGATGACATTTTCGTGCAGTCCATCTTAAGGCAAGCCAACTTCAAGGGTGCAAAGTTGTTAGGTGCGAGCTTCTTTGATGCCGATTTGACTGGTTTGTTCTCTTTTCTTTGTTGAAGTATAAGAAGAATTGTAATAGAGAAGACTTCTGGTTCACTGATGTTAAACTCTTTATCGTATATCGTAAATCAGGAGCTGATTTATCGGAAGCTGATCTTCGAGGTGCGGATTTCTCCTTGGCAAACGTAACAAAGGTCATATTTTGATGTTTTATATATGCATCAATCTAAGTGTGTGTGAATCTAGGGAAAACAAAAAAAGATCTTTTACATTAATGGTAGATAGTTAAGAATGTTACTACATTTTGCAGGTGAATTTAACGAACGCTAATTTGGAAGGAGCGACTGCTACTGGAAACACATCATTCAAGGGATCAAACATTACAGGGGCAGGTAAAAAGAAAACTTTCACTATATAACTATAAGCATCTCTCTTCACATAAAGTTTGATACTTTTTGTGTGGATTTTTCTTATACTGGATTTAGACTTCACTGATGTTCCTCTAAGAGATGATCAACGAGAATACCTTTGCAAAGTCGCCGATGGGTAAATATTCTTCCGGTCTCTACTATTAGAATCTATCTTATTCCAAGTCTGATCTGAAATTCATCAGAATGTGATTACATTGTTGATTTGTTTTCCTATTTTCTTTTGAACCATTAGAGTTAACGCGACCACTGGGAATGCTACGCGGGACACATTGCTCTGTAACTAAACTGTGAAGTTGTAAAGCTTTTGTATTGTGGGAAATTAAGTCTTCTTCATTCGAGTTTTTTTTTTTATAGATTTGATCACTGTTAAAGATAATGTTGTTATTGCAGAGTAAGTGTGTGTATATATATATTTACTTATCTTCCGACCTACAGAAGAATATATCAATCGTATCAAAGAAACCAAACTTCTTGAGCAATAGTAAATCAAAAGTATTGTGACATTTGTTTTTTCGGAACTTGAATTGTAAATTTTATTAATATAATTGATGTTTCAAAGGAAGGGAAATATATTTTCGATTTTTTTCTATTTTTACGAAAACTACATAAAACCGTTAATTGTATATAGACGACTACAAATGTTTTTGATATTATGCATTAACATAAAAATTTCATCCCTTAAACCCCACCGTTGCATTTGTATATATACGTACCCTCTCGTGTAATGAGAGAGCAAAACATAAGACATATTCGTGTGTATCTCTTGTTGTGTAAAAGAATAGAAAAAGGTTAGTGAGAAGAGAGAGATAACATGAACCCTTCAAATCCGGAGGAGTCCAATATTGTGGTGGTCGCGCCTACGACACTGACCGGATTCGCTCCGGAGTATCCGCGGCTATTGGCTTCACCAAGTTCATTTGGTCCGGTGTTGTTTCCGCTTCCGACTCCACGGAATTCATTTGGTCCAGTGTTGGTTCAGCCTCCGTTTACACCAAATTCATGTGGTCCGGTGTTGTTTCCGCGTCCAACTCCACTGAATCCATTTGGTCCAGTGCTGGTTCGGTCGCCGTCTACACCGAACAGAGACTTTAGGCCAGAGATACATCCCGACGAACGTTCATTATATCTCACATTCTCCAATGGATTTCCTCTCACGGAAAATCAGATATATGACTTCTTTAATAGGCGCGACTAACCATAACTCTATCAAAATTCACGAAATCTATAAATAGATAATAGTTTTTTGGTTTGTCTCTAGAGACCAAACCCATTTAATTTGCAATTCACAGGCAGAACGTCTATTAGTGGATAATAGTATCATTTGTAGGAAGTTGGCTTCTTTGTCATGTTACTTACATATAAGTTTTTGGTGATAATTACATGGTTTGTATTTTGATCCATTTGGTTTCATTGATTTGATGATCAGGTTGTATGAATCGTACGTGGAGGATGTGCATGTGCACAAGCCTAGCGGAGGAGGAAAGCCTTCGCTTTTCGGGAAAGTGACATTCAAGCGAGCTGACATACCAAATCTTGTGTTGAATTATAAGGAGAAGGTCTGTCTAAACGTCGATGGCTTTCCTCTTGTATGCAAAAAATTTGTGTCAAAGAGGACGACTGAAAGTTGAGAATCCTCCAATGGGGAGTAATAGCCCCCATGATGGTGGAAGCTACCACGGTGGTGGTGGTGAAGGAGAAGCTATTTTGTTGCACTAACATAAGGGTTTTTGACTTTCATCGAACCTACGAGTTCATGTGTGTTATGAAAAACGCTGTTGTTTTTGATTTTATGAATAAAGGAATGATCTTCCGGAATGGAGATACATTTTGTCATCTCATCTTAGAGATAGCTTATAATGATTTGGGGATAAATTATTTTGAAATATTATTTTTCTTCTTAAAACTTGTCGAAATATGTTGTTATTCAAGTTACTAGGCAACAAATCCGCTCGTTGCAGCGTGGAAAAAAAAAAATTGTGATTCAACCAATCAATTTCAAATACAATATACTTATTCATTTGATCAGATATGTTGAGATCTTAAATTATTTTTACATTTTGTTCGAGACATTGTTTGAATAAATACCGTAGAGATATCCCAATTACCTGCATATATTGATCGATTGTTGATGAAACTTTTGTTATGTTTAGATTTTCTTATAAACGTTATTACCATTTTAACAATACTTTCACACTTCAAATTTACTAATCACAATGAGAAAATAAAACCAATTATATTAAAACTGTCACAAAATTGGAGAAAAGTTTCGAATAAGTACCAAAACATAAATTTTAGATCAAGAAAATGACATAGGAAAATTAATAACACACATTTGAAAGTTATATTTTCTTGGACTGAACCAGATATCTCGATATTTCAAATTATCAAATCCTGGATCAGATTATGAATCCCTTATAAAATCTTCGTTGGTATGGTTCGTAGCTCTATTCTTGAAAAATCTGGAGAGGGAGGTTCCTTTTGAGCTTTATTTTTTTTTCTAGTCAACATGTTTGATCAAGGCAAAATGTGTCCTAGTTTTCGTAGTCCCTTTTTCCGTCGATCACCGCTTTTAGGGTCTAGCGTCTAGCCTGGTTCAATCGACATGCGTTGGGTTTGTGTTTGTTTCCTAGGTTTAGTTTCGATCTTTTGGCCTTTTTTTTGTGAATTATGTTTCCTTCTTTAGGGTGAATGTCTCTTTTTTTGTGAGTTTTATCTTTGGAACTTTACATGCAAATTTCATGAAAATTTTATAAACAAAATCTGTTTACTTGTAAATTTAATGAAGTTTTTATCAACAAAATCTGTTTAGAGTTTCTATAGTTTACTAATACGTGTAGGATTTGATGTTTTCATAAAAAGTAAACTTTTCAAGAAAAAAAAAATCAATTTTTTCCATTAACCAACTTTCAGTTTATTATCCCCTTTCTGATGTCACATTCACGATTTAGATTGTACTATTAGGGCTCTTCTGGTCGACAAAAAAAAAGATATTTAATGATAGTAAAAAACGATCCTTTCCTTTTATTTGGGTTGAAAAAGACATATATAATATGGACATAGATTTATATACCACGACTCGAAATATAATTCAACAAAACCTGGCGAAACATTTTTAGGAAATTACATTAAAACATCGTATGTAGTCAACAAAAAAAAATGATGAAGAAAAAAAACGACAACTAAAAAATGATTTATAAATACGGATAGTTCAGGTGCTCTACAAATGTACTATAAATCATTAAGGCTTTTGAATGCATTAACATAAAAACACCTTTCCTTGAACCCCAACCGTTCATCCATACGTACCCTCTCGTGTTATATAAGAAGCAAAACCTAAGACGTATTTGTGTCTATCTCTTGTTGTGTGTAAAAGAAAGGAATAAGATTAGTGAGAATGAGTGAAACAATAAATAATTCCAAGGCCGATGGATCCAAAATGGTGACGTTCACGCCGACGGCGAGTACACTGAATCACGATGCTCCGGAGTTTCGGCCGGTGACTCCACCGAATTCAGTTGTTCCGGAGCCGATAACATCAGATGCATATGCTCCGGTGTTACGGCCGCCATTTACACTGAATCCAGATGCTCCTCCCTATCGGCTACATCCGGACAAACGTTCTCTATTTATTACATTATCTAATGGCTTTCCTCTCACGGAAAGTCAGATATGTAATTTCTTCAGCAGGCAAGTGACTAACCCTAGTGTCCAAAATCTCTAAATTTATACATAGATAATAGTTTTATTTTGGTTTCTCTTGAAACCATACCCATTAACTTGCAATTCACGTTGTTACATAGTCACATAGAACGTTGTTTATATGAAGTCTATAAAATCCATAATCATTTTTGTTTAGATTTGTACAAGATGCTATATCTTTTAACTTGCAAATCATTTAATTCTATATTAATGGCGACTTATTTGTCATGTTATATATTTTCATTTACGTTAATGGTGATAAATTACATGTTTTGCATATGATCCATTTGGTTTCATTAATTAATGTGATTACATATATGATGGGGATGATCAGTTGTTATCCATCGTCCGTGGAGGATGTGCATGTGCACAAGGTAGGAAGGAAGTCGGGGCTTTTTGGGAAAGTGACATTCAAGCGAGCTGACATACCAAATCATGTGTTGGGAACCCATGAAAAGGTTTGTGTTTATGTGGATGGCTTTCCTCTTCATTGCAAAAGGTTTGTGTCGAAAGGAACCGGAGAGTCCTCCAATGCAGAAACTACCGCGAGTAACAACCCCCATGATGGTGGTGATGAGTAATTTGTGGGGGTATAATGAACTTGGTGAATTTCTGGTGAACGAGAAGTCCTTTTAACATAAGGGCTTTTTGACTTATATCGAACTTCCGAGTCTATGTTTTATGAAAATTTATCTTGTTTGTTTTAATGTTATGAATAAAGGAATGATCGTCCGTTCGTGGCGGAACGAAGATACATTTTGTCATCTCATTTAAGAGAGATATTTTAATGTAATGGTGACAAACAATACTTCGAAATATTATATTCTTCTTCTTCTTAAAACTTGTTGAAATATGTATGTTAATATTCTAGTTAATTATACGTACATAACACAATTTTTCTTAATCTCTCTATCACAAAAATAAAATAAAATTGGGTATTGTGAGTATAAACCTAAGAGCACGGCAAGCTCTTAATGAGTTTCTCCCTCAAGTCTTTTTGTTTGTTTGTTTCTGTGCTCTCTTAGTTCATCAAAGCTGCGGTGATTGTGGTTACGTACTTGTCAGCTTCTTTGTAAAGAGAAGCACGGGGTCCTTGTTCAGTGATGATTCCATGTTTGTTATGAAAACATGACAACTGGTTAGGTCAGAGATGAAATAACTAAAAACTGAGTACAAAGTAAGAGCCTTTACCTTTAGCCGGAAGTTGTTCATCGTTTGTTTGAGAAGGTTTATAGAGAAGCTTGATGACAATAGTTTGCGGCAGGCCCGTGCCTCATGGGTTAAAAAATAGGCATCTGTCTAGGGCCCCGAAAATATATAAATATTTTGGGGCCCCATATTTCTAAAAATTTGATATAGTTCAGTGGTTCCAGAAGTTAAAACTCGGTTAGACTGCCCAGGTTCGATTCTTTTGTGTCTTTTTTTTTTTTTCCTCCAAAGTCCAAACCAAAAAGGAAATCTCGATCCTAAATCTAATAGGAAATCGCGAATTAAAAGGAAGTTTTGTTAGTTTATAAATAAGTAAATAACCCTTCTAAATCTCAATTAGTTTTCAATTAAATCTTCATCAATTTCCTCCTGTCTTCTTCCTCCTCCACCACGACGACGGCTCT